CAGCACTTTGGGAGGCCGAGGCAGGCAGATCACCTGAGCTCAGGGGTTTGAGACCAGCTTGGCTAACATGGTGAAGCCCTGTCTCTACTAAAATACAAAAATTAGCCGGGCATGGTGGCACACGCCTGTAATCCCAGCTACTTGGGAGGCTGAGGCAGGAGAATCATTTGAACCTGGGAGGCAGAGGTTACAGTGAGCCGAAACCATGCCACTGCACTCCAGCCTGGCTGACAGAGTGAGACTCTGTCCAAAAAAGAAGGAAGGAAAGGAAGGAAGGGAGGGAGGGAGGGAGGGAGGGAGGGAGGGAGGGAGGGAAGGAAGGAAGGAAGGAAGGAAGGAAGGAAGGAAGGAAGGAAGGAAGGAAGGAAGGAAGGAAGGAAGGAAGGAAGGAAGGAAGGGAGACTATAAAATAAACACAATGGGAAGATGGGGAGTGGCTAGAGCGGGAGCAGGGGGATGAGGCTATTTTAGGCAGGTTGGCAAGTCACAGAAGGTCTCTGAGGAGGTAATATCTGACCAGCTACCTACCTGAATGATGAGAATAGTCAGCCATGTGAAGAGAGGGAACAGGTTATGCAAGATCTGAGGACGAGTGAGGTCATGAGATCCTAGAGAAGAATTGAAAGCAAGTCCACATGGCTAGAACGTGAAGGGCAGGGGCAGTTGCTAGAGTTCCCTCAGCTAGAGTTGAGGGAATGGCTATAAGCTATAGGTTGGAGGCCCTGGCACCTGCAGTGCCAATAATATTATTATTGATAAAAATCCTTATTCTCTGCCAGGCATGGTGGCTCATGCCTTTAATGCCAGCACTTTGGGAGGCTGAGGCAGGCGGATCAATTGAGGCCAGGAGAGTGAGACCAGCCTGGTCAACATGGTGAAACCTGTCTCTACTAAAAACACAAAAATCAGGCAGGTGTGGTTGCAGGCGCCTATAATCCCAGCTATTTGGGAGGCTGAAGCAGGAGAATTGCTCGAGCCTGGGAGGTGGAGATCACATCACTGCACTCCAGCCTGGGCGACAGAATAAAACTCCATCTCAAACAAACAAACAAACAAACTTACTCTGCAGTTATTTGTCTATTTGTTATAAGATACATTTTTACCTTCTTTGCCCTTCTCAGTATTACAGGAAGCATAGAAACTTGCAAATTACATTATTTAGACTCCTTTGCCACATGGAAGGTGTTGGCAGGAGATGACAGGTGTGGAGGAAAAAAGCCCTTATCCTGCCTTTTGGTGGCACCTCCAGCAGCAGCAACAGCAAGTGCAGCTCCTGGGCTCCTTCTCAGCCTTGGTCCTCCTCAGCAGTGGCACCTCTGTGAGCCCAGTCCCCACCATGGGCCAGCATCAGCCAGGTGGGCAGCACCTTCCTGGTCTCCCTTTTTCTCTTCTAACCTTTCTTAGCCCTTTCTTCCTTGGGCTACTCCCATCTGCCCAACATCTTTATAAATAACTTCTCACATTAAATGTTTTCCTGCTTGAAATAATCTAGTGTACCACTGTCTAATAAGATGTTCTGTGATGGTAGAAAAGTCCTAACTGCTGACCAACATAGTGTCACCTAGCCCTGTGTGGGTCTTAAGCTCTTGAGGTGCAGCTAGCGTGACTGAGGAACTGAATTTTTAATTTCATTTAATTTTAATACTTAAATGTTAACAGCTACATGTGATTAATGGCTACCATGTTGGACAGCACAGATCTAGAATGATGTGTTTTCCTGATAGGACACTGCTGATACAATACTTGATATGAAAGCAGTCATGCAAAACTCACCCTCCATGATAGGAATCTGGGATTGTAGTATGACCTTAGTGGACTTGAATTCAATGATGACTTCATTGCCAGTGGAAAATGGGATATTGTGTCAGGGGAGAGCTCCAACCTCATGGGAGATGGCAAGGAGTAACAGGACTGCAAATTGGCTCGCCACAACTCTATAGGTGCTGAAAGTAGGCAAGACCCAGTGGATGAGAAAAGATAGCACAGCAAACAAAAGGGCCAAGAGTATGGTACAGTGAGTTTCCTTGCCCTCAAGTCCTACGGGTCACTACAGTGGCCCAGATGGCAGCTATGCATGCATTGGGGCTGTGATGTCACTGAGGACTCCTTACCTAAAGGCAGAACCTTTTATAGCAAGCAGTTAACAAGCCAGTCTCCTTCCCCTGGAGAGTGAATTGCTGGATGTTGTGGTCACCTAGACCTACCTACCTAACTGCTTTTGTGACTAATTATATAAATGATCCAGGGTCAGAAAATGGTTAGTCCTTGCAGTTTGGCACAAACAAGAATATACAAGGACATTTGGAGGTCGGCGGATTGCACCTCCCAACAACTGTCCATGGTAGTCCATGGCATGCAATAGCAAAAGTTACTTAAACTATCACCTTGTGAATAACTGGATGAAATATGTTCAAAGGCAAGTCTTTGGAAGACCAAATGGCCACTGAAATGCACTACTAAGGTGAGAATTGTGACTAATGATTTTTAAGGTAGATTAGTTGCTTTCTGATGGGAAAAAAAGAGAAAAAAAATTCAAGCTCAGGATTCTAAACTCTCAGTTCTAGGCATGTTCAGAGAATCAGAAAGCTTCCATTATAGCTTTAAAATATATATGTATTTATAATTAATACATATAATTATATGAATATATAATATGTTATTAATATTAACATTAATTGTACTTATATATAACCGGTTATAGCTACAGGACTAAGATAATTGAAAGTCAGACCCAAATTTTAATCCTGTGGGTGCAGAATTACAGTGTTCATAGAAATCACAGGTGCCCCAAGTTTCTTACAGGAAAGTTACAGCATTAAATGGGAAGAAATGGGACCCTGAAATATGAAATGGAAACATTTGTTTCACTTCAGTGAAATATAAGAATCTGGAATGCCTAAATCCTCCTGAGCTCCAGAAAAAAATTTAAAAAAGAAGCTTAAGGGTGTCTTTTTTATCTAATTTCTTAGAGAAGCATGAGAATGTGATCTTTTTTAAAAAAAATCAATCTCTGATATCAAATTGTGTGTGCATGTATGTGTATGTTGTGAGACAGAAACAAAAATCTAGGGTACATATGTGCATAAGTGCACACACATCCCCCTAAGACCATTGGAAAACTCTGTGTTTGAAGACAGAATGTAAAATTTCAAAGCTCTTTCCAAGTCAAATGAATTTAGGTGTCCTACTTCCTCCAAATCACTTTGGCTTTATGTCCCACTCTGTGTGCTATTATACTGGAGGCAGGCAAGGTCCCTGAGGAAAAACAAACTTCTCAATCATAAATCTGTCCGCTTTGGATGTATTCACAGCCTCTTGCCAAGTCTCATTCCAATCCTCCTCTTGGGGTCCCACATTTCCCTTTTCCATTTGTTCCACACTTATTATTTGTTTATTGAAATGCTCCACTTGCTGGGATAGGCTCCCAAGAAAGGAAACCATCTTGCTATTTGTTGTAGCTTGGATTCCAGGGGTAAGAAGATAGGAGGGTGAATGATTCCATGATGCTATTGGGACTCCAGGCAACACCAGTAGAACTTCATTGGAAACTGTGGAGCTCCCCTTCCCTGACAATGCTTCAGTGCAGTGATGACTCCTTAACACTTTTTACTTTTCTAAGGGTAAAGCAATGAGTAAATCTGGGGACCTTCCTCTTAATTTGTGGTCTCACAACCTAGTAGTAAAGAAAGACAAGTAAAAGTTCCCATCCTGGGAGAGCAATGCAATGATAGCAATATGTGCAAGGTATCCCAGTTAAATGGCTTTTATAGGCTGGGGATGGTGGCTCCCACCTATAATTCCAGAGCTTTGGGAAGCCAAGGCAGGTGGATCACTTGAGCCCAGAAGTTTGAGACCAGCATGGGCAACTGGTGAAACTCCATCTCTACAAAATACACACAAAAACTTAGCTGGGCATAGTGGTAGATGCCTGTAGTCGCAGCTACTTAATACGCTGAGGTAGGAGGATTGCTTGAGCCTGGAAAGTTGAGACTTCAGTGAGCCATGATTGTGCCACTGCATTCCGGCATGGGTGACAGAGTAAGACTCTGCCTAAACAAACAAACAAAAAAAGGCCTATATCAAAAAGACAGGGAATAATGGATGCTGGAAATAATGTGGACAAAGGGGAACCCTTATGCACCATTGGTGAAAATGTAAATTAGTACAGCCACTAGGAAAAACTTTATGGAGGTTTCTCAAAAAACTAAATATTGAACCGCCATATGATCCAGCAATTCCAGGAGTACGCGTTTACCCAAAAGAAAGGAAATCAATATATCAAAGAGATACCTACATTCCCATGTTTATTGCAACACTATTCACAGTGGTTAAAACACAGAATCAATTTAAGTGCCCATCAGCAGATGAATGGATAAAGAATATGTGGTACGTATACACAATGGAATATCATTTCAGCCATTAAAAAAAAAATCAAATCCTGTCATTTGCAGCAAAATGGATGGAACTGGAGGTGATTAAGTGAAATAAGCCAAGTACAGAAAGACAAATGTCATATGTGGGAGCTTAAAAACTGGATCTCATAAAGATAGAGAGCAGACTGGTGGTTACCAGAGGACAGGAAGAGTAGGAGGAAAGGGAGATGAAGAGAGGTTAATTAATGGGTACAAACACAGTTTGATGGAAGAAATAAAACCATGTGTGTCAGCTAGGATGTCTTTAGTTCCAAGTAACAAACCAAAATTCGAAATGGCTGAAACACGGCAAAAGATATGAGGAAAATGTATCATCTCATATAACAGGAAGTCTAGAAGTAAGGAAGTTTCAGTATTGGTTAATTCAACTGTCACCCAGGCTGGAGTGCAGTGGCATAATCTCGGCTCACTGCAACCTCTGCCTCCCAGGTTCAGGTGATTCTCCTGCCACAGCCTCCCGAGTAGCTGGGATTACAGGCCCATGCCACCACACCTAGCTAATTTTTGTTTTTTTAGTAGAGACAGATTTCACCATGTTGCCCAGGCTGGTCTCAAACTCCTGACCTCAGGTGATCCACCCGTCTCAGCCTCCCAAAATATTGGGATTACAGGCATGAGCTACCGTGCCTGGCAGCATTTGTTATTTGTAGTGGGAGATAAGCCTAGAAAATAGCATTTTGGGGTCAGCCTGGGACACGTCCAACCAGCCAGGGCAGATAATTTGGTTTGAATTTGGTAGGAAATGAGGAGCTGCTCAAGACTTTTGATAAGAAACATGACATATTTAGCATTATGTTTTAATATATAGTTATTCTACAGGTACAAGCAGAATTGAGGTAGGAAAAGATGGAGGAGCAGAGAGATCAATATGAAGGCTTAGGGGATCCCTTCTCTCTGACCATATAGTGAAAGCACTTTTTCTAAGACCAGCAGACCTTACTGCAGAAAGGCAACTTCAATGGCTTGGGAGGAAACTCACACCTCCCTAGGGTTCCCACCCAGCTGGGAGCTCACACATGTCATAGTGTACACAGCAGAGGTGCTGACAGAACCAGAGGACTGGGATCCATTACATGGGGAGAGGAGGTAAGACTGCCAGAGCTAAGCTGCAGAGAATCATCACTGAAGACAGGAGGCCCCCAAGGAGGCCAAGGCAGCCTCCTTTCACCAGCTACACGGAGCTCAGAAGCAGCAGTTCAAGACTCTGGGAGGCCAGGAGGGTTCAGATTAGTGGAAGTGCAGTGCAGTCCCAGGATGTGAGGGTGGGGTGGGGGGAAGCAGGAACGAGTCTGAAGGACCCAGCAACCCTCTTACTGAGAAGCTGGACTGTTCTGCATGAGTACAGGGAGTGGCTCTGGTCTTTAGGCCCCAGAACCTGGACTTGGCGGTTGTGCTGCATTTCCTCTATGCTGTCACTGGTTGCAGAGAACTCTCACCATTAACTGCCTGTGGCCCCTGACAAGCTCTTTTTTGTGTCCTCCCAATTTCTTTCTACTTGATTCATCACTTACTTGAGGCTCTGAGAGTCAGTGTTGGCCTCAGTTTGACAATCTCTGGACAGACACGTGCATGTCTCCTACACCTTCTTTAAGACTAGCACACCCAGCACATTCCTGCTTGACGGTCTGTGAGCATTACAAGGTTTTACAAAAGTAAGGTGGCCCAGTGAAGTCATCATTCTTTATACAGCAAATCCTGCAGGTAACATAAACAAGTGAAGAGAACTGGGTTTGAGAGAAGGTTGCAGTGTTTTAATGGATATACTTTGTTTCCTTATTTCCACAAAGAAACATGCTGTTCCTCATTTTCTGAAATGCCTGGCTCTAACCTTCATCTCCTTACTTCTCACAGAGATACTGGTAGTAAGAAATATTTCTCCCCCTAAAGAAAGTCAAGAGTGCAAGTACGAGGACAAAAAGGTGTGGTGGAGACTAGTGAGTTACAAAACACATATGGCACCTAAGAAGGACAAACAATAAATGACACCCTGATGTGGCCAGATCACCTGATTTTTCCACAGAGGCTGGAAACCCAGAATTTTATGTGAAATCTCCCAGTTCTGGCTGGGCGCATTGGCTCACACCTGTAATCCCAACACTTTGGGAGGCCGAGGTGGGTGGATCACCTGAGGTCAGGAGTTCAAGAACAGCCTGGCCAACATGATGAAACCCTGTCTCTACTAAA